AAAAAAAAGAGCTATTTTTTTTAGGTTTTATTTTACTTTTTTTTCAGGTGCCCTTCATTTCTCAGTCTTCGTCTTGTCCCTGTTCTCTGTCTGTCTGCGTTCTTGCCATTTTTTTTTACTTTACTTTCTCCTCGCCCTCCTCCGCGAACGTGCATCCTCTTTTGCACTTGTGTCACCGACCCACTTCTCTTGCACCACCCCGCACTACCCCCCAGCATGAGCCCGCCACACACACACACACACACACGCCTACTCCCTCTCCTCCTCGTCCTCGGACAGCTCCGAGAGCGCTAGCGTCAGCGCGCCCTTCAGCTTGGTGTCGGCGCCCTCATCCGCCTCAAAGCCACCGCCTTCACGCAGGACACCCAGGTATCCAAATCCGTAGCCGCAGCGGGGTTCCTTCATGACATCTACAACCTCATCGCCTACCATCATTTGTGCCTCCTCCATCGGGTCTATGGGCAGCTCCGATGCCGGAAGCTTCTTCATCTCGTGTATGCGACGTGCACTCACCTGTGCTTCCTTTAGTAGCTTTATTCGTTCGCGCAGCCGTGATTGCCGCAAGGCAATACCTCTTCGCCTCGCAGGACGAGTCGTGCTGTTGCCCATCTCACTATCTACCACACCCTGAGAGTCTGTCCCTCCATCCCCTCCTCTCCTTTGCCGCCTAATAGAAACAAAAGCAGGACGCTTTCGCACCTCTGGCATTTTTTTGGGTTGCCGCGACTTGGAACGTTGCGAGTCCAAGGATTTGCTTGGCCTATTGTTTACACCTGCCGCGCCCCGTTCACCTGCTGAACCCTGATTGGATTGCGATGAACATTTGCCGGTAAACTCCACTCCGCTTGAAGAGACGGCGTTCACACCACCCAGGGGGTCTACAGATTCTTCCCAGCCTGTAATGCCACACCACGCGTCTGCGTTACTACTGCAGGAGGGTGCAGCTAAGTTTGCCGTTGTTCCTGACGCCGGCGTCAATGGGCCGTTCGCAGCTGAATCTTTTGTCGACAAAGTGTTTGAACGGATGCGACTAAACGCATTGTTGTTTCTTTGCTGTGGACGATTTGTCGGATTAACTAAACGTATGTATGAGCCATTTCCGTTTCTTAAGCTGGGCTCCACCTGTTTTTGTTCCTTTTGCTGTTGTAGCGGCCGTGATGGCGAAGGCGCATGCTGTTGCTGCTGCTGCTGCCTTGGTGGCGGCGGCGGCGGCGGCGGCGGCGTCGGTGGTGGTGGTGGTTGCTTTGAAAACGTTGGTGTCGACGCCCCTATAAGCCCGTGTTTTGTGGGGGAACCCAGTTTCTCTTGTGGTGTTTCGCACGGAGACGGAGGTTGGCTCGCGGATACAATCCCCAACTTTGGTGAGGGATCCTCGGCCGGTAGTGACGGCGGTGACGGTTGCATGTTGCACTTCGCTGTACCGTCCTGCCGAAGAAACGGGGTGCGTAGCCACTCCATCGCTGTCTCTCCGACGACTGGCAGACGAGTTCCAGTGGCGTTCATGGCACTGTTGCTCCCGCTCTGTGTTCTGCCTGCACTCAGAGCAACTGGAGCGGCAGTAAGCGCGGCGGTTTGCCAAATCGGCGGGGCGTACGCCGGGACGGCAAAGAGGGCCATGTCGCCGGGCGTCATATTGATAGCCTCATCCTCGTCGTTGCATACTGTGAGCCGCGAAGTTTTGCAGCTCCCGCTTAACGCTATGGAGTCCAGGGATTGAATGGGCGATAGATTAAGAAGATGTGTCAGAATACCTGAAACATGAAAGACCACCTGCACCCAGCGATTACGAGGGATAATCAACGGCATTTTAGCGATGACAACTCCGCTGTTTACATCTTCTACAGTTGCCTTGTTAAATTGAGTTCCAATCGTGAGCTCCACACGAAGCGAACTACTGATGTGCATCGCCACCTCCAAGGCAAAGGAGTCAAAGCAGCCAAGACACGCTTGCAGAATAATTAGTAACTGAGGAAACTTGCTGGATAAAAATTGATGGTCTTCACAGGGTATTTCTACACGCGCGTGCGCAAGGCCACCTTTCAGAACTAGCACGGTTGCGTGCAGGGTGCGGTCGTGCTTTATGGCACAACATGATTCGTTCTGGATTCTGGTAGCGCTCAGGCATCCAGGGTCACGCGGAACCAAGACGTCTTGAAGAATCGTGTGCCCAGTCATGCTATGGGTCGATGCGAATGCAGCGGTGACACTCACCCCCAGAGGAAGTTCTTGCTCTGACAGTGATAGCAGCCCCTGGCAAGAAGAAGCACAAGAAAAAAAAAACCCTACACCAATATACGGATGGGACGGCTGTCAAATCCAAAGTGTGGAAAAGACCACACCCCCAAGTATAGATCTATGCCTATATACACAACAAAAGGGGCCTTCTTTCCTTCTGAATGAGGGCGGGTACAGACAGGGAAAGCCACAGAGAGACGGGTTAAACAGCAATGAGGTGGAAGAAGCAGAATACAGAAAAAATAAATAAATAAATAAATATTTTCAAAATGTATAGAGAGCAAATCAACGGAAATTGGCAGTGCAGGACAAATCGCAGGCGAGAGTAATTGACGCAAAGAATGCAACATTTTCATGCGCAACAACAACAACAACAAAAAAACAAAACTGAGCAAAAACTGAGCCAAATACAACAACGAAAATGCAAAAAAAAAACGAGAGAATGTGAGGGAAACGGCGAAAGTGCACTCTGTTTTTCTTTTTCTCTTTGTGTGTGTGCTAGCCATCCACATCCCACATACTTTGTTGGGTATTCGGTAAGGCTTCACGCTTCATCATTATCATCCGCTGTTGATGGAAGTTCGGGGGTTCCAAAATTAAAAGGCTACACACCCCCTCCTTGTCCACGCACAACACCCCACCACGATTTCCAAACTCGTTACAATAGTTTGTTGCCGAAAAGATTGTGAGTAGATGACGCTTCGTGTTGCTAGGGAAAAATTGAAAACCTTCCTCCACTACTTGATGTGCCCGACAAACCATATCCAGATCATTTTCTTTAAGAAACTTCTCCAGCGCTTTGGCTGAGAAAACAAAGGATATCCTACGGGTGCTGGGCGCCCAATCAACATTTGGTGGAAGTTCAGCCTCTGGATCTGCCCACAGCAAATCACAAATGATCCCACTATGTGGGACGTTGCATGGACGCGCATCGGGTATTTCCCGCACATCTTTTAACTCCGAAGAAAGTCCACCATGCATGCAAAAAATGGTGCCATTAACGACCGCGGCGACAGGCAACACGCGAAATAGATCAGTGAATATGCGAAAAAGTCTCACACCATATCGCCTTTTACATTCATCAAAAAAGCCATAAAGAAGCATGATTTGCTCGTCCTCATGATTTCCACGCAGAAGAGTTATCTGTGATGGCTCTATAATCTTTAACGCCAGCAACGTAACCACAACTTCGATAGAACGGCTCCCACGGTCAACATAGTCACCCAAAAAAAGGTACTTGTCATGTTGGGTATCATTTCCTCTCAATTCATCGTTATGCGAAAGTGAAGCATCCTCACCATCGCTTCGAGTCCGTTTGTGTCGTTGGACCGTTGTAGCGCGATTCATCAGCCCCAAAACTTTTCCCCCCAAAGGTGGTCGTCTGCTAAAAATATTTACAAGATCGTGGTATTGCCCATGTAGATCGCCACAAATGCATACAGGAGACTCAACTTGCACAACAATTGGCTCGCTAGTAATAATAGTATACGCCTCACGAATAATACGAAGAATAAGAGCTTCAGGAATTCGCTGCTCATGGGGAGTTGTAGACATATACTTCTCAGGTAATAATTCAAGAAGACGGTACAGTACATCATTCTCTTTCTGCACCGAAAGAGTTTCGGTGGGAAGGGTGCTTAATGAGCAACTTGCAAGCTCAGCTGCGCGATCTAACTGACCTTGTTGTCGAACCCTTTTCATTCTCTAGTGTTATTCCCTTCTTAATGGCAGTTTATATATATATATATATATATGTTTTATTTAGAAAAAAAAATTTTTTTGTGATGCCGTTGGTGTGCGACGTTAAAATAATAATAGCAACAATAATACGCCACCGCTTAAGAAAACAGGATTCTGTGAAGAATAGTATATTAATAAAATAGTAAGATCGCCTGCACACACACTCGCAAGAAGAAAGAAAAGAAAGAAAGAGAAAAAACAAACTGTCAAAAAAAAAGAAAAGAAAAAAAAGGGAAGATAAAACAGCAAAAGCGGAAACGGCAATAAAAACAACAGTAATAAGAACAGTAACAACCAAATTAAAAGTAAGGAAAACGAGAGAACCAAGAGGATATATATAAAAAAACCAGCGAGTGTAAGGTGAAATTCACCTGATTGTTTTTTTTAAAGCTGTATTGTGCCCAGAGATATATTAGGGCCATGCTTCGTGCCCATCTCTTTCTCAACATCAGCTCTCATCATCAGCACCAGAAACAAAAGCATAAACAAGATTTGGGGGTTCCTCATTCTCGTCCATATGCACAGGCCCTGTTGGTTTCTGCTGACCTTCGTCACTCCGCAACTCACCTTTTGCAGAGTCTTCACCCCCTCGGCAGTGAGAAGATGGAGAATCCTGCGGGCGTGTTAAGGTTGAAATTTTGCTTGCAGGACTATCCGCCTCAAACTTCAAACTGCTTCCTGTTAATGCTTCAATCTGTTCCCTAGTCTCAGCCGAAGTAACTTCAACTCCACCCGAGGAGAGCCGCAAAATTCCAGTAAAACGCACACCCACGATCCGTGAGTTCATCAGTATCTTTTCGTCACCCTGCACCTTTCGTTCTACCAGGTAGAAGCGAACACGCTGGTCGCTCTGTAGGGGAAGCTTCACGCGAGAACAAATCCCATTTCCCATTTCTGTATCGCAGCAAACAATAGCAAACGGGTGGCCACTAGGATGACCCTGTTGGTCAAGTAGCTGCATAAATAAGTAGCCGTAAAGGCCACCACTTGAAGGATATCGGCATGATTTACGTGAATTCCGTTTTAACCTTTCGGTTTGAAAAATAAATTCCACATTAGTAATTTCTAACGCCTCAACCCCTGGACCAGAGGGAACACGAAATTCCAAACGATGCTGCGGCTCATCGTCGACTACAGTAGCTGTAATGAAGACAGGAACAGCCAACGTCGCCTTCACCTCTGCTAAGCAGAGGTGAAGTGTAAGCCTAAACGGAGGCCCTTTTCCCAAAACCATTAATCCGAGGATAAAGAGGGAAAGAAAAACTCAGGAAAACACTTTTTTTTTTCCTCTCCTGTTGCTGGGTTATATACTTCAGTAAGTTAATGAAACCAACAAAAAGAGGAAAGGGAGAGGAAAAATATTAAAATATATGTAATACATTGCAAGATACAATAAAACCCATTTCTAGTACGAAAAGACCAAAATAAAACAAAAAAAGTGAATAAATGAGGAAACAAATAAATAAAAAGATCACTGTTATAAACGAACACTACGTCTTACGCATTTCGATAATAGCAATGGAAGAAAATAATAATAATAATAACAGTGAACCGCAATATTAGGAACAATATTTCTGTTGCTGGCTCTACCATCTCCGCTATAAAGTTTTATTATTACTAATATTACTTTTTCCCGGGCCATTTTGGCAAGATAATTTGATAAAGGATTATAATCGATAAACCACGTCCAGGCATGCAAAACATATAGTGAAAGCAAAACCAGTAAAATCAGAAGCTACAGGCCCCTCCCGATATTGGGAAATAATAACAACAGTAATGACAATATAATAATATAATTTCACCCTCTTTCTCTCTCTTTTCAAGGTGCAGAAGATCCTTGACGCCAACGCAAGACGGCCTCTGTTGGTCGCAGGTAGGTAAAGGGATCTTTTAATGAAGGGCCATTATTAATGTGATCCGGCAATTCACCTGAGGCTTCTCGTCGGAGGGCCGAGTCCACTAATTTTTTGATAACCCGAGGGGAGACGTATGAAAGAGTGTTTGCGACAGAGGCATTTTCTGTCTCCTCCAAAGGTGCATTTTTCTCTCCTTCGAAAAGACTAACATTCATGAGATGAACAAGGTCATCAAAAATCTGTTCATTCGATAGATTTGAAACGCTCCCCACAAAATTCGAGCCCCCTGCGTTCTTTTGAAGCTTCCTTATATTTTTATTCGCTTTCTCATCAGTTTTTTGTTGGTTAGCTACGGCGTCGACTGGTCCCTGGATATGATTTCTTGAAGGGGTATAAGCAGCAGAGGGAAGTGGTGGTGGCGCATCGTACGAGTCCGATTCTAAGCCTCCGCCTCCCAAATTTCCTTTATTAAAACCTTGCGCCTTTTCACCCGCAAATGATTGATACAACATCTCTTTGGGTTTCTGAAACATTGCTAATTGCTTCCCAAGCAATTGTGTATTTGTCCCCTCCGTTACCGATTCAAGGCCCTTATTTTCCTGAGTTCGATCAAATTGTGGCTCATTCCTCTTTTCTTCATGGTCGATAGGACTATATGCAATAAATGGCTCAGGATACATGTGGGTTTCAGCTTTGATCGGCGGTTTCTCACCGTCGCTCAACAATATCCTTTTCCATTCTCGCGTTGGCACATGATAAATGTATAGACTGAGGTCTTGAACTGGACCATTTGGGGATCTAACTACGCCTCCAAGCAGTAGTACCTTATCACTCATGTATGAAAGAAGAACATGCCCAATTCTACCTGCGGGAACGTCACCCGTATCGTGCAGAATTTTCCATTGGGCATTTTGAAAATCAAATTCCCTCAATTCCGAAATGCTTTCTTGAGTTGAAAATTGAATCCCTCCGAAAACAAGCATATGTGTCGGTTCTCCATGGTTACTACCATGCATTCCAACCACCACAGCCTTGTGCATCGCTGATGCAACAGGAGAAATGCATTTGGCCCAGTGCCATGCCTGCTTACGCATATCCCACAAGACCAAATCCCCAACTTCTTGTCCCTTTGAAGCGTCTAAACCACCAAAAAGCAGAATAGTATCCCTAAACTCCACGCCTGAATGGCCCCACAATAAAGGTCTAGCAATAGCCGTTGATTTAACACGACGCCAAACCATTGTTTCCAAACTAAGAGCAAAAGTATCAAAAAGTAGATTCCCCATACTTAGTAACTGATGCGAGGGGAATTCCTTAGATACGCCATTAGTATCCACACAAAGCGGATATCCGCCATGAATAAACAAATCACCTTTAACAACAGCACTTGCATGATGAATGCGACTGATGGGCTGATCACCTTTAGCAATTGCGTGGAACCATCTCTGGAGCTCCAAATCAAGAATATCTACAGAACGCATGCAGTTTAGCTGTTCATCAGGTTTTTCCATCATACCACCGACAACCACCATATGCTTTTCTCTGTATATAGAAGCTGTGTGATACGCACGACCACGAGGCGAGGGTGTCGCAGGCATCAACTGAAGTTGATGCAAATTATAATGACGATTAAAGAGCAAAGAGACATCATTTACCAGCCGCACTTTGTTACAATAATGTGCCTCATGATTGGAATAAATATCGTTCTTTCCACCGAATATCACCAGGGATGAACCAAAGACACACGCTGTATGTCCCTCCATTACCTACAAGCTCCTGTGAGGAAACTTGAGTCACATATATTACTATTACTATTATTATTATTATTATATAAATGAGAAACGGAGGGGAAAGAACGAATACATTCAACAAAGAAGAAGCAAAACATAGAACAACAAGACGAATGAATTAATTACGTAATTAATTAAATAAAAATGGAAAGCAATGGGCAGGCAACAAAGAGAAACAACACACCGCGCTACGAGGACGCGAAAACTTCAGGCACCCACAAGTCAATGAAAAAAACGAAAAAAAATCACAAGACACCAGAGGATGATCCACCCCCTTTTTCTTTTTTTTCCGTTTTTCCTTCCGGGCTCTTCGCGCCTTGTCTCCCCTACTTTCGCGCGAAGCAGCAAAAACGCCCCCGGGGCCGGGCGCGCGGCGGGGGCGCTTTGCGGCAGCTCCGGGCAGCCCCGCCGGCCGCCGCCTTTTTCTTCTTCCATTTTCTTTTGTGAAACGCGCGGCTGGGGCACCGCCGCGCCCTCCGGAAGAAGCTAGGTTGGCGGTTACGGTGGGGGCGTGGGGGTTTGTTTGCTTACTTTCTCTGCGCTTCTCTTCGGGAGCTGGGCCGCGAAAGATTGCGCGTGTGTATGTGCATGTTTTATAGAGCTTCACAAACGGCGCGTGCCGTTTTTACGGAATAGGGGAGAAGAGCAAGCAAAGTAATGAAAACGGTGCTGAAAATCAAGTGTCTTTCTCCAATGAGTGAGTGGCCGTTGTAACTATAATGGATTTGAAAATAGATAAATAAATCATTACAGGCAAGAGTTACTCAAAACGACATTGGACTGCCGTGGGGGGCTGCATTTTTCTTTTAAAATGGGTTCTAGTTTCGTTATTCTCTTCTCCTTGCCCCCTCCCACCACACCCCAATTTTACTTGGGGGTATATATTTTTATTTCCCATGGGAGCGAGAGGAGCATGGGTAGATACATAAATAAACCTTTTCCTTTTTATTTACCATGAATTTTGTTTTCTTTACTTAATAATATATGACCCACC